TTTAAGTATACTTTAAGTATACTTTTTAGGTGTCGAAAAGTTGTGTACTTAAAGTATACTCTGGTAAGTATACTTAAAGTATGCTTCAAGTACAAATGAAGTATACTTTTTAAAGTGTTTATCACCTATATAAAGTATACTTTAAATGTACCAAATTTCTACAAGGGAAGTTATATCGCGGGTAGTAATTTGCATAAATTAACCGTCAACTAAACGATGCCTGTTTTTGTAAACCAAAATTCCAATTTTCAAGCAGAAAATTGTCCTAAAAAATTTTTAAATTTTTGGTCCAAACTTCCTCCCTGATGCCCAGTGGCGGTTTTTGTTAGAAGTCAAACAAATGCCACAATGAGTAGTCTTATCTGAAGTACTAACTACACACAAAGTTTTGTTTGACCATTTCCAATTTTGCTCAATCCTTAGCGACATTCGTTTTTAATTCCTATTTGTTTTTATTTGTTTTGCAACGGTGATGTAAACAAAAAAATAGCAAGCAGTGAGGACGACGTGTTTTGTTTTGCTTGGCGTGATAAGAAAATGCCGTCACAAGTCAGGGAACAATTAGTATAGCTTTGTAAGATAAGACCGCAACTCCAAAGGGCGAGCTGACTGGAACATAACTTTTTTGACGGCGCACGCGAAAAACCCTTTATTCTCAAGCTCAATATTATCACTTAGAGGCCCTCAAAGATCACTTCTGATAAGCTGTAAAGAACACATTTTAAACGATGCCACGACGTTAAATTTACCAAAACCGGACCACAATATGCCATCGGTTTCTAATACGTTCTCCTGTCGTCACCTTGTGTTTTGAAATGCTCCCTCTTACTTAAAGCACATCTTTGCTGTTTCTTTTCACCGCTTCATTGTTGCCTAGCCGTGTTGCTAAACTCGCGGTCTTGAGCTGATTGTTTCTCATGTCAATGTTTTTCACTGCCATGAAATTCGTTGAATCGCTTTGCAAGATAATGGAAGACCTTGAACAATTGATAATTAGTTCATGTACGTTTTGACCAGCAGTAAGGAATTACCGAACACAAATTGGCTGTAACCTACCTTAACATACATGACTTTATCATTCACGTTGATGATTACACCGTGTTATAAATTTGTACGAGTCACTTTGAGCCTCATGTGTCCTGAATCTGCTTTCTGCAATTGTCAGATCACTGACACGCTATGAGTGGAGATTTGCCAACAAAAACAGGACGGGCTGTCAGTGCTATCTGTTTCAGCTTAACAATGCAAATTACCGCAAGGAAGGTCAAATTCTCAGCTGAATTCGCAGGCACTTACAAAAACATGAAATGAATATAACACGCCTTTGTCTCAATCATTTAGGCTTCCTTGCATTAAGTTTCAGTTTACTGACTAACGATTAACAAAGCTATCGGAAATTTCTCGGATTTGGGACACTGGCGAGTGTCCAACATAGGCTGATTGAATAGGTATCCAAACCGAAAGAAAAAAAAATTGAAAGCTGAAAAACACCGAAAAGCAGTTGTGATTAGCGCAACTGGGAGAAATTTATCTGTGTTGCAGTTCTCTCAGGTCTCAAAATAGATTGCATTGCATTCATGCGCAATAGGCTCATCTCATTAGGATTGGATTGGCTCCGACTGATTCAGCTCAGTTACCTTTTGGCATCGGTTAATTTATCCCACCTTGCTTGACCTGGATCGATTACAGGGTGGGTAGAATGTCCCTTGAAGTTATCCGAAATACTAAATCAGTTCTTGTTAGATTACCTTTATTTTGGCAACTTTGCATTGATCAGGGATTATTTATATTATCAGTATTTTTTTTTTGGGTATATTTGCAATGAGCGAGCAGGGGACGAATTCAGTTCCTCCTGGTTACTTTTCTCAAAGCCAAGATCAATACTAACATGTTTTTCCAGTATTAGACTGGAAAAAAAAATATCAAATTTACTGTGTGCCTTCACTTTTTCTTCTAAACGTTAAAATTAAACTAGTAGAAATAATTCAATCTTATATGTCCATTATGGATAAGGAAAAATCCGAATCAAATCTCGTTGAACCGTAACAATGGCATATGACAAAATATGCACTGGACTGGATTAGAAAATCATGGACTGGATTCAACATGGATTATTAAAACATGAATTGACAAAACATGGATTAATTAAACATTAATCGATAAAATATGGATTAATAAAACATAACATAATGTTACAAAGTCGATAAGAGGAAAGATACATAAAATGGAGGGAAAAAAACTACTAAAAGGAAGAGAATACAGTCAACTCTCCCTAAGACGGACACCTTTGGGACCAGTACTATGTGTCCGTCTAGAGAGTCAAATAAGGGGAGTAAAGAAAAGCAGGGACCAACGCTAGGTGTCCGTTTTACAGAGGTGTCCGTCTTATAGAGGTGTCCGTTAAGAGAGAGTTGACTGTACGACAAAAAATATAAATAATCTACAAAGGAGTTTCATTAGAAAAAATTTAAAACAAATACTTAGCCTAAGTGTTATAGATATTAAAAGTATTAATACTAAATCTCGCTAGTTCCTTATCGATTTCAAAGCCCCTACTAATCCTAAATGTGAAAAATATGAAAAGTAATTAGATAACGGCCGAACATCAAGATTGTCCATTTTTTCCTTTTTTCTAACCATAAAAACTTTAGCCCAAAATATCTTGATAAAGCTCTTACGGACTCAACTTAAACTTCACAAACATCGAGGCGGCTATCGGAAGAAAAAGCTCCCGTGAATGATTTTGGAAGAACAGTTCCCAGAGCCGAGAAGTACTGCTGCTAGATATGGGGCACTTGGAAAGCTCAGAGAGCATTCAAATGAAGTCGCAAAACAATGGCGCATCTCATGAAATTGCACAGAAGAGCCGCGCAAATTTGTAGGTTCTCCCGCGAGTTTGTGACATTAAGTAATGATCCAGGTAAGAAGGGAAGCAATTTCTTTTGTTGTGGCGCAATACGCTTTCCTCACATAGAAATGTTTTCATTTTTACGCAGAGAATGCATAAATCTACAAAAAGGCTGTTTACGAAAGAAAATGTATTTAAACTCTACTTTTAAAGGGTGTATTTTTGTGTTAAAACATTTCGACCAATCACAAGAGTTGCAAACAATGGCCAAGAAATGTTCACAATTTTACTTGATCCGCACATACGATTTCTGTGTTACTTAGACTCAGACGAGATTTTGTTATAAGGAAGTTGGATAGAAAAAAAGGGATTAATATACATGCTGCGTTGCGAAGATTTCGTAAAATTTGATGTTTAAGCCAATCAGAACCTTAGTAGAGACAATAGTAAAGTTAGCACCTTTTTGCATTCCGACGTGTTCACTGCGTTTTGGTCCTTTCCTTCTTATCTGGACCATTACTTAAGTGTTGTGCAGTTTGTTCTAAAAATAGCGCATTGGCTATTTCGACAAAACCGCTTAGACCCAGCTCTGGCGGTCTCCTACCCCGATTATTGCTCCTACGTGACATGTGCATGTAGCTGCTCTCCGCTGAATCCCTTCAGACCCCTCATAATCGTATTTTTCCTTTTGAGTATGCGAGTCCGTTGGAGGCGTAATCGTACTGGCTAAAATCTATAGCTGAAAGCAAACACTCTTGCCGACATATCATTTTGTTCTTTGTTACAGGGGGGTCTGTTCTAGGCTTATCAATTCTAGTGACTTTCTTTTACCGTTTTAATAAACTATTGCTGGGTGGCGCACACATCTTAATTTTGTAGTAACGCTGTATAGCATCTTAAACAATTATATATAGCGCCGTAGTTTTGGGCCACTTGCACTGTCATGTGGTGAACATTTATATGTAGAGTAAGTAAATGACGCAGAGGAGGGAGATTTCATATTTTCTCTTTCTTCCTCTCTTGCGCTCTCATCGCGCCCTTAGTTAACTTAGTTATATACTTTGCAACACTCGGTTACAAAAGCTGTTACTATAAATTATAGCGACTCTAGCCCACGGTTCCAACGCGCCAGGCTGTTATTCCAGTTATTTTCCGTCGAATTACGAGCACAGTTGCTACAATAAAACAAAATTACAAGTTACTAACAAATACAAATGTCAGCTATGAAAGAAAACGGACTAAGCGAAAATATAAACTTACAAACGTTGGGTGACTTGAACAAAGCTGAAAGGAAAAAAGTGGTACGACAGCTCAAGAAAGATGAACTATTTCCTTATGACAGAACTGACCCGCAAGACCATGATTCCCGTCGTAATAAGAATTTCACTTATAATCAAAACTCTCCATCCAGATAAGTCAAATGCTAGAGAGTATGCACAGAGGAGATGGTTTTCAGTTAAAACCCCTTAGAAAAAGCCGATTTCATTTGCTAACTGACTGGTCCGGCAGGCCAGTTCTGACAAATGGAAAGCGCCCTGAGACAATGTTGCAGTGACTCTAAAGCGAAATGAACCTAAAATAAAAGATGAAACTTACAAAATGAACTAGAAACAAAGAAATTATGCAGAGAAATCTAAAGGAATATGAATTGTGACATAACTGAAAAGAACGAGAAAGGAATGCGCAAAATTAAACAAAGAACAAGCGCGATAAACCTATTTAGTTTAGTATGCGGCCGAATCAGTTACTATTCAGGGATGAGTACTGGATACCATTTGAATCCATAACACTATCTTTCATTTGACTCAATTGGTGCTAGAGATCTAAGGAACAATTTACATATTTCTAATCACCTATTATAAAATTCATCACACGACCAAAACAAAGTCAAAACTTTAATATACTTCGTCTTCATAAATGGTGTAGTCTTCTGCTTTTACAGCTACTTTACACCGAAAACTCTGTTTTTTTAAAGTATTCATTGCCGTCCCCACATTTCTAGAAATTCATTTAAGTTAATTCCATTAAGTTAAATCAAATAACATGCCAAAGCGCCGGTGAACAGTGCCCACTGAGGGCCTGTATACATGGTGGTGGGGGACCTTAGGCCGGTAGGTCAGGTAACCCGCTTAGGTGGGGTAACCCGCCTGCCCAATTATTTGAATCGCAGCCATGGCACCCTTAAGAGTGACAACAGAAGGCCTTTACCACCAAAATACGTCGTCTGCTCGCATTTTTTTGTTTGCATCAACGCTGTATCAACAAACAAAAAAGCAAAAACAAAAACAAAAAACAAACAATCAGCCATACAGATTTCATATTTGGCTAATTCTGATAAACAAACTTTGCAGCTCAACAATATACTTCACTTTGAGATCAAAAGAGTTATGAGAGTTATTGAAGGTAAACTGGACACGCTAACAATGTTTTATGCTTCATTCTTTCGTCAGACAAAATCCGTCATTTTAGCCGGCATGCCAAATCTTATCCTATTTAGCTTTTTATGATTTCTCTCTCTCTTTTTTTTATTATTATTAATTTTTCTATGACGTTACTGCCACTACATGTACGTGCTTAGCAATAAACAATAAAAGACCCGTTTACACGTTAAAAGAGAAGGGGCGGCTCGGTTAGAAACAAGTATCACTTCCATAAGAAATCTCCTGTTTACAGGTACATATTCTGTATTGTACCCAACAGAAAAAGGTACGGTACTTGAGAGCCCCTGGGAACGGGTACAAGACCTTTCACACACTTTCTCAATACACGCCTGGCAACTCGTCTGAGTTCTTGCAACATGTAGTTCTGGATTCTATTCGATACCATGAAGAGTGATAAGTAGATCTGTAGGCTACGGATCTGTTAGTGGTAACCGCCGTAACGTTTGACAGCGCGTGATTCTTCAAAGAAGTACTTTTGAGAGAATGCTTTTTGAGAGAACTAAAAGGCTTACTAGGGTGCTCTTCTCCGTCATTTTGTTCTGATCGTCAGAATAAAAGACTAACACGACGCATGCAAGATACGCTAAACAAGATACGCTAAACAAATGACATGGAACAGCACGGGCTCAGAAAAAATGTTGCAGATCCGTGCCTAAAAAAGGCGAACGTTTAGACGTTGAAAAGAAAACAAAAATGTGGTTACGGAACCAATTTTTATCGGTTCCGTTCCGAAAGAGCTCCGTAGCCACCTTTGGACCTTTTAAGGAACGGAACGGATAAAACTGGAACGGTAGTGGAAAGTTTCATGCAAAAGCTGGTTATTTTTGGACCCCACCTGAGCGTGTTACCTCACCAATATGGGGTCCCCCACCTTTATGTACTGACAAGCCCTAAGTCAACTCTGTTAAAATCTTTGAGCTGATTAATGCTACCGTAATAAAACTTTTTTTCGTATTCATGCCTCTTTTATGTTCTTACTATTCGGTTAAATTCTCTATAAAAGTCAAAGCTACGAGCTTTGCTGACGCTGTAACAAAAAACGACAACAAAAAAAGATTTCATTTAGCCCAGTTTCCAAATGATTTAAACTCATTCCTTATCTTTGGCAACTTTCCTTATCTTTGGCAACTATATTCTTTCTTATTTAAGACTGACATGTTTTTACTTTATTGGTTTTATATTTATATAGTGTCTCAAACTCTATCCAAGCAAAATTTAGGTCTTTTCACCAACCGGAGTTTCTTAAGCGGAACCCATCTTTTGTCCCTGTTTTTAAACCTGACTTGTACCAAGGATAAACGCTCATTGGTACCAGTCACATTACCAGCGCGATACCATTCTGGCATACCAGGTTTGTGAACAGCAATAACTGAAGAATTAACAGAGATTTCCTTCATTTTGGGGAGTTTATCTATAACGAGCACTGGTTCAGTCCTATTGTATCTGCGCCACTGACTATTGTCTACTTGTAAAACGAAATTGATGTAACTGGCTGTAATTTTTTTTATAAAAGCTCTGTAGTAGTTAAGTGAGTTGTCTTTTCGCGTCCATAACCCCCAAAACACGGAACCAGGTAGAATGCATTCTGAAAAAAATAATAATAATAATAAAATAAATAAATAAACGAATAAAGCAATTATAATTGCCACTTAAAAGAGCTGGAAAAAACAACAACAACAACAACAACAACAAATCAATCACTCATCGAGATAGACGGATCAACAGTATCCATAGTATTTTTAAGAGTCAATTCTACTAACGCAGTGCCACATGCGGTTTTCTTATTTACTTATTTGTTTATTTTTTTTCTTATTTGTATTATTATCCCAAGTCCCTCACTATTTGACAGTATAAACTTTTCTAAACTGGAGTGTCAGCAACTGATCTCCCGCCCTGGGTCCCTCTTCTTCCCGTCACCTTGAAGGCAGAGAGAAGCTGGGAACTGATGGATCGAGTGATAATTGAGAGGTATCAGGAATACAACTGGTACAAAGCTTCATTTGACAATTACTGGTCCACGCTGAGTATGATGTGACTAAGAATTATTGGGATAATCGTGGAGAATGTTATCGGCCAAGGTGGTTAACAGTTTTCGATATCTGCATAAATCTTCACGTTATACGAAAGCCAAATTAATTAACTATTTTTTGTTTATTCAACTGCTTGATAGCCGTTTTACTTTATAGCTCACTTGGTAATAAACAGTTAGGCTGTGGCACCTAGAAACGAGATAGATCGATGAAATATTTGCCTGAAAATGAGGGTGCTTGGGTATTGTTCGCATCTTGCACATTCGGTCAGTGCCAGCTGGTTGTGAAGAATTCGTCGGTGTTTTGAGCCAATCACAATCGGCAAAATATTAAAAGTGGCTGTTTGTTGTACTACTCAGGGTCTTAACTCGTACAATACAAAAAAAAAAGTCTAAAATGGAGGTGAGAGGGAATGCGGTAGTTGCAAACCGGATGTGCATTCTCATTCAGTTGTCCAATTTTCTTATTCTAATTAATTCCGTACTACGCGATGTAAGTTGTGTGAACAGAATAAAGCTACAAAGATAATTATTTTTACCAGGGTTAGGATTGCATCCATATATTTCCATTCTTAAGCAGAAAGATTGGGATTGCAAACCAGGGTAAATAAGCAATTTGCTGGTCACGAAAGGCTCCTTCAAATGGTATTTCACGACGGAAGAGGCGTCTCTATTTCCCTGTATAGACTGACAAAAGAGGTGACAACATCCATATTATAAGCATATAAGCATATAAGCATAGCTAGGTAATAATACTGAAAGGGTTGATTTGTTGCCCCCGGGCAACCGGTGATAACATTGTCAAAGAAGGGTTACGAAGATGGTCTCTGCTCCCAGCGATGTAAATTCACGACAGAAGAGGCGTGTGTATTCCCCTGTATAGACTGAGAAAAGATGTGACAACATCCATATAATAAGCATAGAAGCAGGGGTAATAATACAGAAAGGGTTGACTAGTTGCTCCCGGACAACCAATGATGTAAATTAATGAATAGAACAAGTACCTTTCCTTAGAAACAACAATGAAAATGGAATAAATATAGCAAACGGAATAACATCTACATGTATAAAACACATTAGAGTGATTTGACGTAACCCGTGAAATAGGAAGTAGAATACTACGAACTATTATGCACTAATTCCGTTGTCTACTTTTGTTGACCTGTTGCACCTTCTAGTAGTTAGTATCTGTTTCATGGGTCAAGTAGAATCCCTCTAACAATTCACATTACAGATTGTTATATTCCTGGACTTTCATTCAACTAAACAGGGACTACCGTTGGTTGATTCTTGGTCACGTGGCCTTGACTAAAGTCAAATGTATCTCGATCGTGATACATGAAGCAATGTACCCCGCTCGGGCTACATTACAGCACGTGACCAAAGCATGGTGGAAAGTGGAGTGACAGGAGGCGGGAAAAAAGACTGCCAGTTTTCTTTTTCGGGAATGAACACAACAAACACAAACACGACGCCTCAAACTAAAAAGCAACGATTTTTAAAGTTATGCCAGAAAAGAAACAACAGCTAGCGGAGGAAAAAGATGCAGATAATATAAGAAAAGAACTTTGTAAATCATTCATTCAGTGGTTTTGAGAATTAAATTTGTGTTATTATAATTACCGAGTCGACTGTTTTGGTTCGCTCCGGTTATTTTTTTGCTGCTGTTGAAGTGAAAGTCTAGAAATATAACAAAACACTTAATATCAGGTCCCTCGGGAAAACAAAACTAGCTGTTTCCCTCGGGATCTGACATTAAGTGTATATTGTAATTTTTAGCTATTCTATTGTGACGATAGCTACCTAAAAAAAAAAAAAAAGAAAAAAAAACGTCTACATACCTGAAAACCTGAAAAAGAGACCTGAAAAGACCTGCATAGCGTTTCATTGCATAAGAAATCTTATCTGACTTAACACGTACCAACAATAAATATATAAGTATAAGTAAAAAGGAAAAATGAATATATGTGGCTTACAATATATTATGAGTTTTATTTCTTACCTTTTCTTTGCCAAATTCACTGTACATAACACGTGTTGCCCCAACATAAAAAGCGACTTTGTACTCTTCCACCCACTTTCCCCCTGTATCCATTCTACCTCCCTGGGTCGCTATTGACGTCACCTTGTAACTTTTACCAAGATCAATTTGTAAGTACTGCTGTGCTAAAGCGCACCAGGATAAAGGTCCATTAAGACGAGCATATCTGGCAAACCGCTTAAAGTAATGGGGACCGGGTGAAGTGATATTAGAATCCGGAATGCTATAATTTTCCATACCAAGCGCTCTTCCGCATTCTAAAACAAATCGTAACATACGGTCACGTAATATGGCTATTGAAGTACGCATTTGAAATATCGGTAGTGTTTAAAAACAGAGCTAGTCTCTTCTTTTCAATTAACGGAGGATCACACAGGGGAAGGGAGAAGTAGGATGTTGGGCTCCTCCCCACTTACTTTCTTCAGATTACTTTTTACGTGACGTTCTTGTTAATAATGAAAATAATAATAATAATAAATAAATAAACTTTATTTATATAGCGTCTATATCATTAACTGTTCTAGGCGCTTTACAATATCACAAAAAATGTATCAAAACTCTAAAAAATCTAACAACTACATATATCAGTATTTTGCGATGTGTGAACTGATAACGTCAATCGTGAGGCAATATTGCAAGATTATTGAACGGTTAATTGAGAGAAGACCTGGGGACGAGGTTGAGTTGATTTGGCAGTGTATACAAAATGGCGGAACATTTCACTCGTTTCACGAGGAAGAAAAAGGCGAACTATTGGCTAAAAATATAGCCGCAGAACAGCCAAACAACTCGACGGACGACATCTGCTATTTCGAGAATATTTGCAGATCTGAACAACCTTACATCTCCTAAACTTCCCGATAAACATGCACCATCGAAGATTAACTTAACATCGATGGAGGTAAGCATGTTAAAACATGCATTCGTATCATCTGAAGAATTATGAAAATCGAGGAGGGTGCAGTCTCGCCAGATACACCCTCCTCGATCTCCATAATGCTTCAGATGACACCTAGCCTCATTCAGATAATTGCTAATTACATGGAGAAGATATCAAACCTGTGCACGTTGGAGCGCTGCCATTCCATTTTCCACCGAGGCACTTGAGAATTCTTGAGCCTTTCATTTGAAATCCATCATTGCAGGAAAATGAGACTAATGCACCATGTTTAGCATCGTTTTTATCAACTCTGCCGTCAAGGGGTGCTTGCAAAAGAGCACAAGATGCTAATGAGGGGAAAAATAACGTATTTCATTACCCAAATTCTCTTGCTTTTGTTTTTTTATGTTTTTTTTGGTTGTTTTGAAGTTCAATTACAATAGGAATGCTGCCATGAGTATGTCAAACGTGTTACTGATATGTGTAATCACTTCGACTAAAATTAATAATTTGTTCATGACATAGTTATTAGAGGAGACTGGTTATGAAAAGCGGCAAACATCAATGATAAAAACAACAGTGCTGCAGTTTATGTTCAAAGCACCGTGAAAGTGCACAATCCTTTGTTTTCTGTTGGCAAATTGTTACGGAATAAATTAATGCAACGTTTTTATTGGTCAATACAATCAAAATGATAGGAATTCTTTTGAACGTTGTGCACTTTAAGGTCCACAAAAACATATAACAAAGGAGTCTGACGGGTTTCATAACCATTCTACTCAAGTAACTTTGTTCATGATTAGCGTGGGTATATCGAGTTATGGATGCACGCGGGAAGTTTGGAGAGCACGAAATACGTGTAAGTCAGAGTTACGCATCTTTCGTGCCCTAAGCATCAGCATAACCCTAGCTCCTTGAGCGCTCTCCAAACTTCCCAAGTGCATCCGTAACTCGATATACGCAGAGTTAAATAAGCATGAGCATATTCTTTTATAACACAGCTGACAAAAATTGTCGCTTTTTGGTTAACTGCAAAATTATCGTAACGCGCGACACAAAATGGCCTGATCACACAGGGGAAGGGAGAAGTAGGATGTTGGGCTCCTCCCCACTTACTTTCTTCAGATTACTTTTTACGTGACGTTCTTGTTAATAATGAAAATAATAATAATAATAAATAAATAAACTTTATTTATATAGCGTCTATATCATTAACTGTTCTAGGCGCTTTACAATATCACAAAAAATGTATCAAAACTCTAAAAAATCTAACAACTACATATATCAGTATTTTGCGATATGTGAAGTGATAACGTCAATCGTGAAGCAATATTGCAAGATTACTGAACGGTTAATTGAGAGAAGACCTGGGGACGAGGTTGAGTTGATTTGGCAGTGTATACAAAATGGCGGAACATTTCACTCGTTTCACGAGGAAGAAAAAGGCGAACTATTGGCTAAAAATATAGCCGCAGAACAGCCAAACAACTCGACGGACGACATCTGCTATTTCGAGAATATTTGCAGATCTGAACAACCTTACATCTCCTAAACTTCCCGATAAACATGCACCATCGAAGATTAACTTAACATCGATGGAGGTAAGCATGTTAAAACATGCATTCGTATCATCTGAAGAATTATGAAAATCGAGGAGGGTGCAGTCTCGCCAGATACACCCTCCTCGATCTCCATAATGCTTCAGATGACACCTAGCCTCATTCAGATAATTGCTAATTACATGGAGAAGATATCAAACCTGTGCACGTTGGAGCGCTGCCATTCCATTTTCCACCGAGGCACTTGAGAATTCTTGAGCCTTTCATTTGAAATCCATCATTGCAGGAAAATGAGACTAATGCACCATGTTTAGCATCGTTTTTATCAACTCTGCCGTCAAGGGGTGCTTGCAAAAGAGCACAAGATGCTAATGAGGGGAAAAATAACGTATTTCATTGCCCAAATTCTCTTGCTTTTGTTTTTTTATGTTTTTTTTGGTTGTTTTGAAGTTCAATTACAATAGGAATGCTGCCATGAGTATGTCAAACGTGTTACTGATATGTGTAATCACTTCGACTAAAATTAATAATTTGTTCATGACATAGTTATTAGAGGAGACTGGTTATGAAAAGCGGCAAACATCAATGATAAAAACAACAGTGCTGCAGTTTATGTTCAAAGCACCGCGAAAGTGCACAATCCTTTGTTTTCTGTTGGCAAATTGTTAGGGAATAAATTAATGCAACGTTTTTATTGGTCAATACAATCAAAATGATAGGAATTCTTTTGAACGTTGTGCACTTTAAGGTCCACAAAAACATATAACAAAGGAGTCTGACGGGTTTCATAACCATTCTACTCAAGTAACTTTGTTCATGATTAGCGTGGGTATATCGAGTTATGGATGCACGCGGGAAGTTTGGAGAGCACGAAATACGTGTAAGTCAGAGTTACGCATCTTTCGTGCCCTAAGCATCAGCATAACCCTAGCTCCTTGAGTGCTCTCCAAACTTCCCAAGTGCATCCGTAACTCGATATACGCAGAGTTAAATAAGCATGAGCATATTCTTTTATAACACAGCTGACAAAAATTGTCGCTTTTTGGTTAACTGCAAAATTATCGTAACGCGCGACACAATAACAAATGTTTCTACTGGCTGGATACAAACACGCCGCAATCGTCTCTAGTTTGAAAGAAAAATCTTTCTGTAAAACTGAGAAAAGCAAATTTGCTTACTTATTCGTTAAAGATCAATAGAAACTAAGCCGAAACAAAGGTCAAAGAGTGTTAAAGTCCACCTAAAGTTAAAATACTCAAATTTTAGTAAGAAGTCGTGGAGTAGGGTTTGGATTTGCTGAAAAGATGTTTAAGCTTAAGTTTAGCTCGGCGAAATCGAGAAAACTTGTTTTTTAGCGAAGACGACTGTCACCCTACTTTACAGTTATATTCATTTGCGAACAATGGCTGGTCATTACGGCTTCTCGAGAAGAGCTGGAAGCAGTTGTTTTTATTACTAATAAATTTATGTCTTCTTGTGTAACTTGTTATTACAAGATAAATTTTCCTGATTCAGTCGGATTGTTCGGCGATAACGAAAGTGCATGATTCTTCGCTATTGAGCTTACTTTATAATTAGTAAATTAAACGAGACTTACCTGGAAGTTGAAGTTTCTTTGGAATTCTATCAGGCATCTAGGGAGCAAAGATTACACGAGATACTACGCATGCGCACGGTTGATCATCCTTCAAAGAGGAGTGGCCACAGGAGGCAATGACAAATAACACAATATAACAAAAAACGGGGAGGGATTCACAGAGCAATCGGTGAGCGTGTAATTTCTGCTCTCTGGATGCCTGATAGAATTCCAATGGAACTTCAACTTCCAGGTAAGTCTCGTTAAATTTACTAATGCTATCAGTCATCTACCGCAGAGATCCCACGAGATTTTAAAGTCATGTGGTCACTCAGGACGTCAAAACTGAATTTATTGTACAGAACCACTAAGTGAAATGTATACCAGGAATTAGATAACCTGCAGAAAAGTTAACAGTAACTTTACAGAACAAAAAATGGCCTGACAATAAGTGTAACAATCAATGTGTTTCCACAGCAGCAGAGAGAATAGCATGACTAAAACTGTCCTAAATTTTGGGGCTGAACTGGTTTGTTTTAAAAAGTGTTAAAAACACTTTCACAGCTCCAACTGGCAGCCTTCAGAACTGCAGCTGGCCTTGTTTGGAAAACTCCTTTTAAGAACCTTTGGTGATTCCCAACAGTAACATTAACATCAAGGACTAAGAAGGGGGATAGGGCACTTCTTGCAGTATTTAGACAACTGAACCCTAAACCCCTTTCATATAGTTCTTGTAGAAACTCCAACACATCTTTTACAGGTGGGTGAAGGGGATCCACAGCCAGTTTGCGACTTCTCAAGGTAGACCCAGTATTATTTTTGGGTTTGCTGGCCACCACGAGTTGAGGATTGTGTTTTGAGATGCTTGTGAAATTTATCTACTCTGGAGGGATTTCAGGATAAGAGGCATGCCATCAAACGAAGCTGGCTGCCCAGGGGGTGGCGCTGTTCTGGGGTGAATGGTAGATGGACATTGTTCGTGTGTCTTGGCAGGAGGATTGGCTTCCGAATCAAGAGTCTTGTTAGCTTGGCGTACCATGGCTGTGTTGGCCAATTGGGGGCAATCAGGATGGCTTGGGCTTGATCCATTTCCAGTTTCTGTAAAAATTGTGGTAGGACGCTAAAGGGGGAAAAGGCGTATGAAAAATGATTAGTCCAACCCAGAGTGAAGGCATCAATTGCAATGGCTTGTGGGTCTGGAAGCCATGAGACATAGGGTGTCAGTTGATAGTTTAACCGTGAGGCAAACATATGGTGGGTGTTCCCAGGATGTTTATTATCCTGTTGAAAACATCCACATTAAGCTGCCATTCAGTTGAATCATCAAAGAACCCGGATGCTTGGTCAGCGATAACAGTGATTTCCCCTGGAATGTGTTTCTTGGGGGCGTGAGAACCTCCCATTTTGGGTAAATATGCCACAGCGGTGGTATTATCAGTCATAACTCTAATGTAATCATGGGTTACTTCCTTACAAACGGACTGCAAAAGCCCAAGAGAATGGCCTTTAGCTCCAAGTAATTAATATGGTCGCTTTCTTCTGTAATAGCGCACTGTCCCCCAGTTGTGGTGTCGTTCAGGCATACACTCCACCCCTGGGTAGAGGAATCAGTGTATAAGGTATGACTAATCTTCCCATGATCAATCCTCATCTAGGCGGTCAGGGCATTCCTGGTCCACCAAGAAATATCTGCAGGTGCCAATTTGTTCAAAATCCCGGTTGTTAGTTTTAAGAGCCGCAGCTTTTTCTATTTATAGCTGACGGCAGAAAAGTTCTCCATACTCTACACCCGGGAAGCAAGAAACCATCATGCCAATTAATTGTGCCACCTGGTTCATTTGCTATCAAGGATTCTTTGGGCTGCAAGTTTCCGCTTTTGATGTTTATCTACTGAACTGGATACTGTCATATCCAGAGAATTTAAAATAAACCCTAGGTGATGCAAGACCTGGGTTGGTATCGATGTGAAGTATATATGAAACTTTATGAGGCAAGAAACCCAAATGTTGATACAGGGTTAGGGTATCATCAATGTTGGCTTGGCTTGGGGAGTACCCTTATTAAAAGGAGTCATCAAGGTAGCCACTTGAGATATGTCCCAACGCCCTGAGGAACGAAAACACAGGTTTCAGAAGTTTGGTGAAGAGACGGGAGGGCGGAAGAGAGCCCCTGAGCCAAGCATGTAACTTGATATAGGCTTCCCCGCCATACGAGTTTAAGATATTTTGGGTGCTCTTTGGCAATAGGCACGGAATAGTAGGCATCCCGCAGGTCAGTGGACGCCATGTAACAACGAGGTGTCATGCGTTGGGAACAAGTATGGATGGAATCCATTTTAAAATTAAGGTTAAGGATCATACGGAATGACCCATTTCTTTATAATTCTCAGAAATATATTCGAGGTGAACTATCCTTCCTCGTGGGAGCTTTTACTTATGATCCCTTTTTCTAGGAATTTGGATATTGGTGCATTGACATTTTCACTTTCCTGAGCTGAAAAATTAATTGTCCTTGGGGTGGTAAACTGTACTGGGGTAAGGAAAAAGTCTATTTTGTATCCTCTTACAGCATTCAAGATGCTGGGGTCATGTGTTAATTGTTTCCATTTTCCAAGAAAATGTTGAATTCTCCCAGGTACAGTGGGAGGAAAAGTCTTGTAACCCTTAACAGATAAAAGAGGAAATTTACTTACAGCTTCAGGGGTCACTTCTGTGTCACAGATTTCTTCCCCTTGGAGGTGTTGTTCACGCTCCGGTTGTCTTTGTGACTGAAGTGGTAGTTGTTTCTTGTTCGGGGGTATCCCTGGTGGTGATTTCCCCGGCGATGGAATAAAAAGGAGCCCCTGGCTGAATAGGAGGACCTAGAATACTCCTTATTGCGTTTCTTCTTATTGTTTAGCTAGTTGTTTAGCGGCTTTTTTGCTTTCTTTGACTGTCTTCAGTCGTTCCGTAAGGTCATCGCCAAACAATTCGAGCCCCACAGGCTGTTTGCTGCTACATATGCTTTTGTAAGTGTCATCAAGATCTACCTTCAATAGATCTCGCCTGCACATGTTGAGGTCGTGTGTGGCAGAGGCTCTTAGAAGCACCGAATTGGATAAGATTTTCCATCATCCGGAGAAGGCATTGTCCCCTCCTTTTGAAGGACTTCTCGCATAGTTCCCATAAGCCTGGCAATAGGAATGACGCCCGTTACAAGTGATTTTTGCACTTTTTGTAGCCGGGAATCCATGCTTCGGGTTGTTTTTTGAGCGATATCCCATATCTCAGAGTTCACTTTTGTCACATGGAGACGTTTGCAACTTACTGGCCTCTTGTTTTCCTTCTGCTTAAGTAAGGCTGGCTCTTTTAGACTTGACGCCAGAAGACTGTCAACAAGTGACGATACTTTCTCATGTACAGGAGGCTCGGTTTGTTCGTTTTCGGTCACTTCTTTAATAACCTCTGCGATTTGAGCGCAAGAGGACGATTTCAAATCGTCCGCTCTGTCCCTTTATGGCGAGTGGTTCCGTTGGTTTGTCGTCGGCGGTGTTTTCCTCGCCTCCGCCCTTGGAGGCGTTCAACAATTGCAACTCGTCCTCTTCTTCCTGTGCTGCATCATAAGCAGCTTTTAATTTCTGCACTACAGGCGGGACTTTTTAAAATAGACTCGTTAGCTGGTCTACCTTGTGATTTAGGTCGGCAAGGCCCAATTCGACGGTCGTTTCGGTTTGTCAAGTACGTTTGGCACTGGGAGGTCTAGCTGCGCCAGTAACCGTTGCTTTTCTGGTGATGCCGGGTTGAACGTCCCAAGAAGAACGTAGTGAGCTTTCCCGCTCAGATGAAGTTAGTGTATTACTCGGCTTCGCCGAGGCAGATTTTGAGTGTCGGGCTTCTTTCAATAGCCCATCCATGCTATTTTTCTCCGTCATCATGGAAAGGTGAAGCTCACCTTTGAGAGGAACTGATTTGCCTCGCAAATCTCTACCGGATGACGTAGATTGACGGGAAAAAACTCGTTGGAAAACCAAACACGCCTACAAGATGGCGAACGCTCGCGTAGAATGACCAACCGTGCGCATGCGTAATATCTCGTGGGATCTCTGCGTTAGATGACTGATAGAATTAACTTTTTTTGTAAAGGATAAACAAAAAAATTGAATTTTCTTCAACACAGACCAATTTGTGATCTTTTTTCCAGCTGAATGTCAGTCTTTACAACAGACTTTTTAACGACTCAGACTATTGTTTGAGAAACATCTCACAGCTTCTGCTGCTTGAGTGGCCAGAAAAAAGCTAAATTCCAAACAAAAATCTAGAAAGCTTTTCATCATTGACGTCGATTTCGGGGTACTTAGTACTTTAGGAAAAGAGGCAGAAAACACAGCTGAGCACGTCATCATGAAAATAATCTTTATTTACGCACAGGCGTGCGTAAATAAAGATTTTGTTCATAGCGGCTTAATGGGACTTATTTAGGGTTAGCACACGCGCTATGTTATATTATCCTGTAATTCTGTACTCAAAGTACATTTTAATTCATTAACTGCCTTTTTGTAGTTTCATGTATCCTCGGTGTGAAAACGAAGTACTATTTGAAGTACTATTCGAGGAAAGCGTATTGGGCCATTACAATACCCGGATCATAGCTTAATCACTTCGACTAAAGGTTGACTGCTTTACTGTTAATTATGGATCACAAACGCTCCACTGACCATGGCTCTACCGGTTTTGTATTTTTTTTTTTTTTGCTGTAATATGTTTTTTATCTTTTCTTGTGCCCGTATACCTTATCGACTTGCTCAAAAGTTAATTACACGGCCGCATAAGGCATTGCCTTTTATAGTAGAAAAATTAGAAAAAAGTGGTCGTGGTGGTTGCTGTTGTTGTGAGTAAAAAGAAGATAACTGTCACCTTTGCATTGCGGTACAGCAGCATCCCAATGACCATTGTTACACTTTAGTTTTTGAGAGCCTTCTAAACTGTATCCCTGCCTACATTGATATATAACTATCTGGCCATGAGAAAAATCATTTCCGATTCTTCTTCCACGATCTATGAGCCCGGGATCGCCACATGAAGCTAAAAAAAAGAAATAAGTTTATGAAATCAATGATGTTACGTAATCAGTACTTAGGAATGGCGGTTTCCATACGATTGTAATTACTGATCGTAGTCTTATTATCTGAAACAATAGAAAGGGAGAAAATATGCCATTTGAAATTTGCTCTTATCCATGACTATGTATATATTATATTTTAAAAAATGCAAATGAAATATACGACTAGACAATTAAATTAATTTCTATAATTTTCAAAATTCTTAGTGCAACATTCCCTGCTTCTCTTGTTCTTTGTGTTGATTGTAAAACACATGATACCTTTGCAGGAAGGAGTAGTTGCATTCCATTGCCCATCTTTGCAGTGAAGGACTTTCGATCCCGTCAATTCATAAGATGAGTCACAAGAAAACTCTACAATGCTGTTGTGTTTAAGGGTAGCCCCTTTGACAAAAAATCTGTTGAGTGTCCTGCCATTTAGTGGAGTTCCATCGAAAATACATTGACCTAACGGAAAAGAACACAGCTTGTCACGACAAATATAGTGAGTAGTTGGTTGCATAAAGGCCCTTTTTTGTGGTTGTTGTTGTTTTGTGGTAGTGGATCCACGCCTGGATTACTCATTTGGCAGTAGGTAGCTGATTTGAATGTCGAAGAGATGGCAATGCGTTGAGACAACAGGTTTGTTTATACCGTGTCTATTAACAGTATTTCAAACACATTTTGGGAGGGGCTTAATAGAGACGGTGGGCTTTTTTGAGGGAGGGGGGGAGGGGTCTTATTTCATTTAGCAAAGACGATGGTATCAGTTCTCCATGAAAAAGGGCTATAAATGGAAACCTTAAGTACAAGAAGTTGGAGGTCATACAGCCGAGGAACAAAAACAAATGCGAAATTGCAGTTGGGGAAAAGACCATCCCGGATCAGTCCACAAGACGTTTTGCAGTCGTGATTGATTGATGCAGTCTGAATTAATACAGTGACGAATAATAAGGGGGGGGGGCTTAAAAGAGAGAGGGGCCTTATTAACTTTCTGTCCCTAAAAGGACTTTTTTAAGAAAGGGGTTTATTTGAAAGGAGGGCTTAATAGAGGATTCACAATATTTATCTTTTTTAATCTTCCCTTATATAATTTTTCAAACAGAGACACTCTCTATAAGTAGCTCAAAAAAGTTCAACAAACTATTCCTTCTCCAAAATGTGGAATCCAGAGCTTGGTTGCGTAAAGGAACTTTTTGTGGTTGTTGTTGTTTTGTGGTAGTTTATCCACACCTGGATTACTCAGTGCGTAGCTGATTTAAATGTCGAAGAGACGAAAATGCGTTGAGACAACAGGTTTGTTTGTACCTTGTCTATTAACAGTATTTAAGCCCCCCTCGTCGGAGAGGATTATGCATTTAAAACACATTTTGGGAGGGGCTTAATAGAGACGGGGGTCTTATTCGAGGGGGGGGGGGGGGGTCTTATTTCATTTTGCAAAGACGATGGTATCAGTTCTCCATAAAGAGCTATAAATGAAAACCTCAAGTACAAGAAGTTGGACGTCATGCAACCGAGAGACAAAAACAAATGCGAAATTGCGGTTGGTGAATAAACCATCCCGGATTAGTACATAAGATGTTTTACAGTCGTGATTGATTAATACTGTCTGAATTAATGACAATGCTTTATGCTTTATTTACTTGGAGTCTTATACAGTCCTATGTACATCGACTTTATCCAAATAATTTAGAATCATAACACAAATTGCACACTAGTGGAACTATAATCAATGTTAACCTAAAGAGCTAATGGTCTTCTTTTCTCATAGCAGTCGAATACGTATTTTGCAATTAATTTTTGCACTGGTTTGTTCTTGTGCGGAGGGTTTATTAACAACAGAAAAACATCATCTGGTGCCATTAATACAGCAAAGAATAATAAGGGGGGAGGGGGGGGGCTTAAAAGAGAGTGGGGCCTTGTTAACTTTCTGTCCCTAAAAGGACTTATTTAAGAGAGGGGTTTATTTGAAAGGATGGCTTAATAGAGGATTCACAATATTCATCTTTTTTAATCTTCCTTTTTAATAAATTTTTCAAACAGAGACACTCTCTAAGTAGCTCAAAAAAAGTTAAGCGAACTATTCCTGCTCCAAAAAAAACAAAACAAAACAAAACAAAACAAAAACAAAAAAAATGAGCGTTACGATTAAAAAATGTTAGCTTCGAAGGCGCACGAGTATTAAAATCTGTTGTACGTGAGCCCAGTTCCATATTTTTATTTCTCTACTTAAGTGGACACTTGGATAGTAGTTTCCACATTTTGGTAAACAATTTCTTTACAAGATACTCACCTTTACACTCTGGTACTGAAGAATTCCATGCTTGGCCGACACAACGCAGTGCGGCATTACCAACTAAATCGTGATTTTTTGTGCAAGTGAATGTAACTACGTCTCCGTCAAGGAAGCTATTCCCATGCAAATTAACGTTACCCGGAGTCCAAGGTCTTCCGCAAACACCTGTAAAATACAACAAATAATACAAACATGTATTTTTGTTTGCCTCAAAAACGCGTGAAAAGCGAAACCAATTGTTCCAGAGGTTAACTAACCTTTACATACAGGAACCTGATCATTCCACGTGCCATTATTGCATGTGATAGACACAGCACCGATAATCTGGTATCCTTGACGGCAGAAATAATTTACCGAGTGTCCATGCCTGAAATCTTTACCCCGTTTCCTGCCAAACGATGGAGCTGCAGGTTCATTACATGGTGCTATGGAGGCCAAGAGAAAAAGTTTTCATTGAAATGCTATCAATTAAAAAAAAGGGGGTTAGGGGCTAACTCGAAAACCTTCCGGTACCTAAAGTCTGTAGGCTATAATAAATTACTTAAATCTCTTGTTATCTTATCTTAATATAAAATTTGTCGTGTACATACAATATTAATAAAAGCGAGTAGATAAAGATAACTTTTCTTGTTATTATTGCATCTATATTTTCATCAACCGTAAATTTATTTGAGATTTGACGTTTAAGCCCAATTTCTAATCGAAAATATCCTTTAATTTGCCTGTTCACAGCCCAATGACTGGCAATTATGTTGTTCCAAGGAAATAAATAGGAATCGAAGTAACCCTACTAGCTTAAGCCCGTTTATGGAAAGTGTTTGCTCATCAAAAGGGGTGGTGGACGGAATACCCTACACAAGTACATCAGCATGTACTACCACTATCTCCCTCTTTATAATAGCCATATCTAACACTAAGTTAAATTTATCCATCACTTCCTGCTCGGTTACAGAGGAGAGTGGCTCCTACTATTTACGATCCAATACCAGCTTCAAAGTAAAGGTTTCCAAAGCAGGATGGAAAACCTTTAAGGGCAGCTAGGCCTGCGCTCTTGTTGGCTCCTCGCCATGGAACACTCTTCCTGCTGCTATCAGGAGTATTCTGCGCTTTAAGCTGGTTCTAAAAGCATCTTTAATTTGTTTGTCCTTTGCCCAAATTAAAAAAAAAACCTTTACAGTGGTTGCGGTGTTGTATTTCCCTTTACTCTATGTTAACTGTGTGCTATGTCAGCTTTTATTATTAACACTTTCGCATATGTATATAGCTTCAGCGCTATATAAATAAAATATCTTTGAATATCTTTAAAATGCCGCAATTTCCTTACAAAAGTCAGATGGGAAGCCGTAAAATAACCAACATCATTAATAGCAACTTATTTTACAACAGGTGAAAGAATACTCGGTTATTTGCGCATTTGAGTTACCCATCACATTTAACAAACCCATATACCTACCTTTACATTTCGGTAAATCAAAGTTCCATTTTCCATCATGACAGGTTAGTTGGTCCTTGCCCTCAAGGATGTAATTACCATCGCACTGATAACGTACTGTTTTACCGTGACCGTAGTCATTACCAATTTTAACACCATGTTTTACTCTACCAGGGTTTTGGCAAGAAGCTGCGATGGAAGAAGGAAAGAGTATTAGGCTTGTACCACGTCATGAGTGGCGTGGTGATTGTATTAAGGAATAAGGATTGGAGTGTCTGCATTCAAGTTCACTCTATATATAAAAAATTTAGTTAGCCTGCGT